TCCTGAGGGATCTCGAAAATGCAGACCCCACATGGTACAAGAAATGTGCTTTTCAGTCCCCTTTCACAGACCCTCCATAGCCCAGAGCACCCAGCAGTCTCAGCATCACAAACCAAGAATTACTCCTGCATGAAGGGCGGTGGGAGCCCAGTTCCTTGACGCTGGCAGTGTGGGAGCAGCAGCGTTCCCAAGGCAGCAGCACTCACAGCTCGCAGCCAGCACTGCTATGAACGCTGGGCTAAGCAAAGCAGAGGGAGAAATCGGCTTCAGAGGACAGAAAGCACAGGAAAAAGCTGGCAGAGATTGATGGCACCATCACTCTGCCCGCTAATGGGCATCTGGTCCCATTGGGCAGCTCTTTAAAGGCAGATCCTGCCTCGATCTCTGACTTATCTGCAGCAGCCAGGGCACAAGAGGAGAGGCAAAACCCTCTCCTTGCTCCCACTGGGAACGTTAAATCTGTATCTCTGTACCACCCCTATACCCAAGGTGAAGTGAGCACCCTTTCTGCAAAGTTCATCACAATGTGTCGTCTTCAGCTCAGCCTTGCCTTGTCCAGTGGGGGTTAATCTAAACCACCCAAATTTCCCAGGCTGAGTCAGAACTTTGTTAATAAACCACAGTGCAATTGAGTCAGTGGCATCTCTCCTCACTGCTGTTTTACTGACATCCCAGATAACAAATATCACTCACATTGGACCACAGGCAGTGCAGTGGGATCCAAATGCCCATCTCCCACCAGCATATCTAGGCATACACATCTATAAGAAAGCAAAATACATCTCTCCCCACCCAAGGGGAAAGGGCAGACTCAAAAGGAAATATCAAATCCTGATTTGTTTTTTTTTCCTAGGCCGTTTTGTAGCCACTCACTGCACAATTACATTTGGACTGACACAAGGTACTTTGGAAATTGTGCTCAGCACTTAATCCTCCGGCTCTTTGGCACTCATTTACTCCCCAGGTGCACTGAGCTGCATTTTCTGCTCACAGACAGGAAAGCCAAGGGCTGACCAGCAGTCACCTCCCGGGAGTAGCTGAGTAGCTCTGGCTCCCTGGCTAATTCAGTGCACAATTATCTCCGACACAGGGAGGCTTTATTTCTGCCCTGCTCGGCTCCTCCCAAAGCCTCTGCCGTGCTCTCAGTGCCTCACAGGAGGCAGCGTCACCCGCTGGGGCTCGGCAGGATGTCACGATTGCTAGAGCAGCATGGGGAGCTCACAGCCCCCCTCTGCATGACAGCGGGGCTCAGCTTGGTGCTGGAAGGGCAGATTTTGGTGAAAAGCACCAATCCTACTGTTAATCAGTGCTGTACACTGTGTGACTCGCTGCAAACAGTGAGCTTTCCAGTAACACCATGTGCCAAGGCCTGAAATCTAACCAGGGGTCTGGAGCCAAAGGATGATGCCTCTTCCATCACTAACTGATCTTTTGCCTTCACTTAGTTAAAAGTAGGTTTGGAAAAGAAAGGGGAAAGCACTCAGAAGACAGAGCAGCTACACCCCTTGTTCTGTTGCAAATATACAGCAAAAGGCTCAGAGAAAACAAAGCTCTGCAGCTTAAGAAACAAGGTCATGTTGGAGTTTCTGACTGTGAAGGAAAGGTCCCTTCCCCAGCACCCTCTTCTCCACAGCAGAACCATGGCATCTTACCTGCCCAGAGCCCAGGAATGTGTGATACCAACAGCTCCAACCCAAGCCATGCTGGCTGAACAGCTTTCTCAGGGCACTGTGACCTACAGATGGGCTGCTCAGGCAAGGGAGCCCCATTGAAAAAAAAAATTAAAGTAAAAAGAAGTCTAGAACCAGCAAATGGGAATTTTCTTGGCACAGAAGCAAGTGGCAGCATTTGGATGTGTTCAACCAGCAAGTCCTCCAAAGACTTACCTCTCCTTGACTGCTCCAGGCATGGCCAGAGGCTCTCAGATTCCCTTTAGCACAGCTGCCTTCTCTTGGTGGAACAGGAGTCAGGACTTCAATTGCCACCAAAATGGATGAGGCAGGAGAGGAGCTGTTATAGGCTCCTTAAGCCATTAAAGAGTTAATTTAAGGAGGAGTCATGATATGTACCTGACTTGTAGCTGCTGTTGTGCCCACTGGGATTTTTTACTCCCTGTCTCTTGTTGCTGCTTCCATTTATCTGCCAGCTGGGCTACCCGAGTTTTGGGTCAAAAAAAAGCCAACTAAAACTGACTGCTTTGTGCTGTTAACGTTGTTTTACCTGAACAGGCAGCTGAAGGTACAACTACACCTAGAAATGGGTGTTCCTATACCAGGATCACTAAAACACCACATGGCCCTGGGGTAACAGAACCTCCTGAGGAAAACAGAGCACTGAGCATGCAAGAAACATGGACCAGGAAACACCCCACAGCAGAAGCAGCATTAGAGAGGGGGAGGTTAAGTTCCCAGGAAATGGTGTGAATGCTATCAGAAAACACAGGAACTCAACCTTAGCAACAAGGACATGTGAAAAAAGAGGAAACAAAGAACTGCACACGAAGGAAAAAAAATCCCAGGAAGTCCTACAATTACCTGTCTGAGGGAGAGAAAACTGTTAAAATACAGCACTTGGAGGAAAACAGTCAGATATAGTGAAAGACATGAGCTCCAGATAGGACAGCACAGTCCTGAAACTGTACCTTACCATCCAGAAATTGAAAAGAAGTGAGTTTTCACATGAGATGTGGAGCACTGTCTTAACACTGGGGTGTGAAAGGCCAGGAACACAGGCACAACTTCCTCTTGGGGGATGATCAGAGAAAAAAAGGAAAATTTTGCAGGGAAACACTTCTCCAGGCAAAGAAGGAGAACAAAGACACTTTTTTGTGAGCATAAATGCCAGTTTTAGAAAAGCCCAATTTCAGCCTATGTAAGAACACAGAAATAGAATGACAAAGGAAAGAGATCTTACTAGAGGGAAAGTCAAATAAACTCAGTAACAACTATCAAAAACTACAGGAGTGTCAGAAATAAGGATTTAAGTACTGCAGGGGCACAACACCAAATAGAATCATGGAATCAAGGACTGGTTCGGCTTGGAAGGGACCTTAAAGCTCATCTTGTTCCAAACCCCTGCCATGGGCAGGGACACTTTCCACTAGACCAGGTTGCTCCAAGCCCTGTCCAGCCTGGCCTTGAACATTTCCAGGGATGGGGTTGCACAAGTGACAAGGAAGGTGATTTTCTTTACCAAATCAAAGCATCTCTTTCCACCATCACCTTTTTTCTGTTCTGGTGTATTACCCCTTTCCCATTAATTTGCCTGACTGTCATTTTTGCTTTATAGCTTATTTTATAGTGGGAGACTCTACCAGCTCACAGGAGACAGTGTAATACAGGACACTGCACGTACATCACTTCCAGTTGGTTTCACGGGCTCTTTTGTCAGCTTTGGAAGAAGACAGGTCTGTCCTGGTCACTGATCTTGCAGTCCATCCTGCAAGCAGCGGGGCAGAGCTGACCTGCTCAACCAGGAGATAAGCACTGCTCATGACTTACAAAAACCAAGGAGAGAACCAGAGGCAGGAGGAGCCAGCAGCGTGTCCCAGGGTGCTCCCAGTCACACCGGAGCACAAGGTGCAGCTCCCACAGAGAGCAGGATCTGGCAGAGCTCCTCAGAGGAGCCTTCGAGGTGGAGAGCAGCTTCTCCGCAGCACTGCCACCCTCCGGCTCCAGGGAAAATTCCCTCTTCCTGGCAAAGAAACACCCCTGAGCCCCTGGATTTATCCCCTTTCCCTCCCAGCGGCAAGGAGAGAGCTGGCAGCAAACCTGGATGTGAAAGTTCCCATCGGTGAGCAGAACCTGCACAGCAAAACCTTGGGATCAGCAGCTGGAGGAGTTGCTGTCTGGCTGCCAACACTCCCTGAATTTGTGGGCACCAGCATGGCCAGTTCATCCAAAGACCATGGACACCAGCCAGCCACCACCTGTGCTCTGATGCCACTGGCTAACAAAGGCAGAAGCAGGAGACAAATAACTTGCACCCTTTCTGTTGGATAAACTTTCTCTCTGGGTCTCGGGTGCATCCTATCCAGCGTTCCAGAAGACGTTGTCCCAGGTCCCCAGAATGGCACGTGTGAAGATCAGGATACAAGAACTCCTCTGAGTAACTTCTCACAAGGCAGCTGTGACTCTGTTTAGCTCCGAGGGAAACCCCCTTTTCTCAGTTCTCTCTGTACTGGTTCCCACAGGTTACTCACTGGTCATAACAAACACCAGCAAGTGATACAGGCAGGTGAACCCCAAACTCACCTGTCAGAGAAAATAATCTTTAAAAGTGCTGCTGAGAGTTTGAGCCTCATTTAGCTGAAGACAGCTCAGCACAGGAACCCTGCTGGCAGAGCAACCCGAAGATGAGACACCCTCACAAACCATCCAAAACCCAAGACCAGATGGCAGCCAGTTAGAAAGGGTCAAACACTGTTTTCCTATTTTGTGGGCTTTTAATGACAATTTTCACAATAATTTACAAATTGGTTGTTACGCACATTGTATGTCCATTCTGTAAAGAAAAATGTGAGTTAATTCAGCTCTCAGTCGAGAAACTGCTGTAAAAATGCCCTTGCCGAGGGCTGGTCTCTGCTCCAGTTTGTTACTACAGGCAGCCAAGCGAGTTCCTCATGCTGAACCTGCCCAACCTGCCAGCCCCTCCCCTGCACCCTGAGCTCCCTCTGCTCACACCAAGGTGAGGACCTGGAAGCTTCCCAGTGCTGAGGGGGGTGGACTCACAGCACAGGGCTCAGGATGGGGAGGGAGAGCTCCAGCCCTTGGCAGGGCAGGAGTGTGGCCTCTCCCAGGGACTCTGCTCCCAGGGAGCTGGTGGCTGCAGCCCATGGCTCAGCTCTGAGCTCTGCTTGTAAGCCCAGGATGAGGACAGAAGCAGCACAATATTCTAGCCTTGTGTCTGGGCATAAGGAATTGACCCTTAGGGTTCTGTTCAAAGGAGAGAAAGATATGGAGACCTGAGCCCAAAACACAAACAGAACAGACCAAAGCTGCAGAACTCCAGGTGTTCAGCCATGTTAGTCCTCAGCAGAGGAGAGGAAATACATCAAATACAGCCTTGCGTTTTTCCACCTGAGCTGTTGCCATCATCTCAATAATTCACCTCTCAGGATACAACTTGCTTTCCAGTTAGACTCTGTTTGTCTCTTACTTCCAGTCAGTTCAAGCTGATTCAGCTTTGTACCTTCTTGGAAAGAAGAAGTCAGCAGCAGGGTTTCTCAGAGAAATGCAATACAGCAAATTAAACCTGCAGCCGGTCTGGCCTGCCGGGGAAAGCACAGGCAGAGCAGGTGGGGACTGCAATGAACGCCCCAAGAGTCCAGCTGAGGGAAGGAAAGTCAGGGCTTTCTCTCTGGAAAAGCCTGGGAAGTGTTAAACCTTGCACCTCAGATGCTGGAGCTTTCCCCACACTGAGCTCTTTCACAAAGACTTCCCCCGTAATGCTTTTACAGGAGTGTAACCATTATTCCTGACAATCAGATTACCCATTCTCGGACAGTTTATACTTAATGTGCGGAAAAAAAAAGGGAGTACTTTGCAGCAGTCCCTGGAGGGAAGAGCAAAAGGACTGTGGTGAGCAGTAAACTGACAGAAACTGCTCTCTGAAGCTCCCTTCCCCCTCACCTTCCACCTCTCTCTGAGTGCAGTAACTCAATCCACAAAGGTAACTGAACTCTCCTGGGAGAATCTGGGGCACAATAGGCTGCAGCTCCTTTCAAAACGGATTCGTTTCGTTTTATTTATTTTAAAGTCCACTGATCATCATCACAAAAAAAAAAAAAAAACCATCGGAAATGCAACTAAAGAGAAAAAAAGTCCAACCAAGACCTAAGAACCCAGAGCTACGAGCGGATGTGGGCCCGTGTGGCACCGCGGCGGGAGGAGACGGCCCCGTGCGCCGCGCCGGGCGTGCGGCCACAGCTGGGGTCCTCTATGTCAACCGCTGAACGATGACAGCGTTGAGCAGGTTGGCTTCCTTCAGGGTCTGGTTCTCGTCAGTCAGCTCTTTATTGGGGAAGGTGGTCATGAGGACGAAACTGGTGGCAGCCATCGCTGGCCGAGCATCTACTATGAAGAGCCGGATGTCACGGATCCTGTCCAAAGGGATCAAACACACAAGGGTGATCCTGTTACTGAGCAGCTTCTACAAAGGTGTGCAGCCTGTGCTGCATTTGCTTCCCAGTTCACGTCACAGGCCACAGCCAGACTATTCTGATTTAACCTGCTCCTCTGTGGGCTCTCGTTTAGTGAAATAACAGCAGCTGCTTTACGGGCTGCAGACTCAGCTCAGTGTTCTTTGTCTGCGTTGGCAGGAGATTATTAGAAACTGAAAACTTCCAAACCCTTAATGATGAACAGATTTAACAAACTGTTTGACACTTGCTGCTCTGAGTGACTGAGCTTGTCACACACAGCAGAACCCAGAGGATTTCGGCTCCCCTGAGCAGCCACACAGTGACACGGGATCCACTTCCTGAACTCAGTCATAGACAAAGGCTTTTGTAAGTTTTTGCCCTGGGCTTGACTCTTATAGAAACTGGAGGAATGAACATAAACCTCAAATCAGGGAGGTGAGAAGGACTTTAGGAGAGCAGTCTGAGGAAGCAGTGGGGTATCTAAGCCAGCTCTGCTTGTCCAAGGGAACAGAACTGTGGTAAGAACATCCCTTCGTGCTCCACTCAGCACAGGGAACAGTCCCGTAGAGAAGTCTAAACTGAGGCAGAATAACTGAACAGGTTTCTAATTATCTGAGAGTTTCTAAAGCCCTTAGAAGAGATTCAGTTTTTTTATAGGTGACATCAAGGAAAGTGTTGCTGATAACACTGACTCTCCCAGGTGTGGTATCACTGGCTATAATCTATCCCTATTTGGAAAGCAAATCCTATCCAGCAGTTAACAACCGCCTTAAAACCCCACAATAATTCTATTCCTCCCCGGAAGGATCCCCAGAGCTCCCTTTGGCAGGCAACCAGGATTTTAACACCTGCTCCACCTGTGTCCAGTCTGCAGTGCCATGCAGCCCTTCCTGGTGTTTCTTGCTCATACCTGTGACTGTGGTTAAACTTCTGGACCAGTCGCCCGCCGTCGGCGAGCCGGATCTGGATGTTGGTGACGGGCTCCGACTCATCAATCGCGATGGCAGAACTGGCTTTGGCTTCGTTCTCTGCCTGCTGGGCTGGTGAGCTGGTGCCCATCACCTGGGGCACGGTGCTGACAACAGGGGGACACAAGGGGAGCTGTTAAAAACCAAACTCACCTGGCTGCAGGGAGCCAGGATCAGACAGCCAGCTCATCGCCTGCCAGGCCCAGCTACCAGGGCTGCTAGACAGGAGACACCAAGCAAGCTGGAAGTGAGAATTTATTAGTCAACCAGTCAGCAGGAACTTGTCTAGAAATTCACCTCTACCATCTCCTTTGGTACCATGTCACAGGCCCTTACATTCTCATGGGAACAGGGGCAGTGTGACTTGGAAACACTGCTCCTGCGTGTTCTATGGGAGTTCCAAACCAGGGAGAGGCTGAGCCACCTCACAGTACATGCCAGTGAGCCTTGTTTCCTCAGAGAATCCCACAGGCACCTAGTGCCTCTCCTTCAGAAAGATGAATCAAAAGGCTCCACCTAGCAAGGCTCTCGAGTGACTCTCTCCCATCACACACAGAGCAAACCAGCGCCGCCGTCTTCTCACCTGCCCAGCTTCTGTCCTTCTCCAGTAAAAGCCTTGAAGACACTTTTAGGTTTCACATACTCCTCATCCCGGTGATCCTCCATATCCAGGTTCACCTGTCCTCCCCGTGCTAACCTGCGCAGCTCGGCCGGGACTTCCCTGCAAAGACAGAGTCCTAAGGCAGCTGCCTGAAGCAGCAAGGCAGGAAAGTGTGGAGAAAAAGCCCCAAACCTTTGGATTTTCAGGAATCACGGTGTGCCCCTTGCTTAATTAACAGGGCAGACGCACACCTCCCCCACCGGCACACACAAATTAAAGGCTACTTTTCCCTGTCACGTGATGCATCAGAAATCTCACCCCAAATATGAACACCTCTTTGTTCACTTCCCACAAACCCCACACAAACCAAAGCCACTCCCTGTTTACCTGAACCAAATGTTCCATATGAAGAATAATTAATTTCTTACAAGAAAACCCAGGTGAAATGTGCCACAGATTCAGCAGCCTGGATTCCAAAAACACTTGTGTTTCAGAAAACAGCTGCTCTTTTTCTTCCCTCTCACTACATACCCTCTGCGGATATCATCGAGGAACTGGGCATTGGATGGATCCTGGTAGCTCCTCAGCTCTCCACTATCCAGACTGAATCCACTCTTCCAGAGCTTCAGTACAACGTGCACCTGCAGCAGCCCCCAAACAACAATCAGCCTCACTGAGCATCTTGGTGACAACAAAAATCGATGCAAAATGAAAAGTTCCTACTGGGCAGAGGAGCTTTCGGGTGCAGAAAACACTTCAGCCAGGTTCCTCTGGGCTGAGGGAAAAAACCCAAAGCACTGGCTATGTATATGGTCAGGTGTCAATTCCTAGAAGGTGGCACCACAGTCCCCTTTTAGGCAAATATGGCTGAAAAGCCAGGAGTGTGCTGGGTGAGGAGTCTAAACCAGGCTCCCACCACGGCCTAGAAGCACGTTTGGCCATAAACCAAGCACGAGGGAACCTCACACTGATGCTGGCAGCTCCACAGCTCTCCAGTGGATAAAGAAAAGTTAATTGCCCAGTGCTCTTCGCACATTATTTCACTTCTAAGGAATGCTCATATTCTTAATTAACAGTTCATCAGAAAACTGCTTACCCAAGACCAATCATCTACTTTCTACTCGGAAATCCCGCAGGAAGCAGGATTTACCATATTTCTGTCCTTGTGAATTTCTATCAAGCTTTGTAACTCTCAGGGGTGGCAAGCTCTGTAGCTAGAGCAGAGAAATCCCTTGGGTCACATCTACAAACTTGTGCAGACATACTCACATCCTGAGCAGAGTTCTGCCTCCTCTCTCCTGCCACGTAAGCCGACTCCTCCTCGGGAGTAGCCCCAAGGCGATACCCTCCCCCTGCAAAAGGCTGGAAGAGAGAAGCAGGCAAAGGGTTACAGAACCACACAAACCCCAAGAGAGCTGCTCCCCTTCCCCACCACCCCTATGGATGAACAGGGGCTTCATGGCATCACCAACATCTACTGCCCTGCAGGCACAGTGACAGCTTCAGCAAGTTCATAAATATGGCACAAGAGAGCGGCTTTTCTTGCCACTGCGACACACAAAATAGAGCTGCACTGAGAGAGGAGTCCAGACTTAGCTGTCGAGGTAATTCCAGGACTCCTCAGTGCCAAACAGCTGGCATGGTGGAGCCTTAACTGAAACAGGGAACAGAAGGAAGAACTCAGCCCTCCTCACCTTCGGCTTGCTCGTCTCACCACCGCCCTTGGTCGTCCGATCGACGGCCACTGCGCCGTGTTCCTTGGCTCCCTTGAACAGATCCTCCACCAGCTCGTTGGGACTCTTCTTCCTTGGAGGGCCCACGATCTGCTGGCCACTTCTCTCCGAGCCACCGGCATAAAACCTAACGGAAAGCACCCGGCTCCTGGTCAGACTGGACCCGCTGCCTCTCCAGGACCCAGCGGTTTGACATCAGGACTCACTTGTTTGTATTTGTGCAGCTCAGTGAAACACCTTGGAATCACAAATACTGGATACAACCAGTGTGTCTCCCACTGCCACCACCTGCCAGTTCCTGTACTGCAGAGACTTTCTTTTTATGTCAATTACTGTAAAATTACCTGTGGATCAATAGCAATAAAGTGGCCACAAGTCTCAGACCTGGCAAGAGGAACAGCCCAGAGGGACAAGCCCTGTTTTAAACACCAGTACCAGCTCAATCACCCGGCTGAACAAGGCTTCCAGCGAGCCTCTGACCCACCAGAGAAACATCCAACTGGAATTCTGAGGGAAGGCACACGGTCATGCCACACAAAGGACGGATCTCAACTGGAAGCAATGGATGCACAGTCAGTGAAGTGCAATTAAGCACTTCTGGAAGATTGGGTTTATTAGTTTCCAGATGGCTTGTAACACACACAGAGTGAGCTCCCAGCTGCCTGCAGACCACAGTCCATCCAGGCTGAGCCACCCCTTCAGAGACATCAGTTCCATTCCATTTACTTTGCCTGTCAACCTTAAGGGTATTTAACTACTTACAGCTGACATCGTAGGAGACTTCCCCACTAGTATTCCATGTTCCTGTTTCTCTTTCCACTTCCACATTCCAGTACATTACCCCTAAGCAGCACTTCAAAAAAAACCCAAAAGAAACAACCCAAAACCAAAACCCCAACAAAAATAAAACCGCAAACCCCAAGCAGAAAGAAAACAAATCTCTGCATTATTCCCACGTTTCCGTTCTCTATGGACACAAATGAGGATCTGGGCTGTTTCCTGTTCTTAACCCAGGGCTTCCATACCCTACTTTAGGCTTTCTCTCAGCGCTGAGAGCTGGTGCTTACACAGCTGAGCACGTGCTTGTGCACAGGCTTTGCACTGAGAAACCCCTGTCAAACCTCAGATGCTTCACTACAGGAATTCCATAGAGACACAAACTTGATCTTAAAAAAACTGAGCACAAGCAGCAAGTCCTCCCAAAAGGGCTGGGATAAACACCCAGGGTTTGAGTCTTTAGCTGGAAACTTACCGCTGTCCCTCCTCCTCTTCATCATCCTCCTCCTGCGCATGCACAAGGTCTCTGAACGAGGTTACTCGATGGTCACTGCAAAGATCCAGCAAGAAGAATGTTGGGACACAGTCCAAACTAAAACATTCCCAGCTAAAGCATTCCACACTGAAAACAGTCGACACTGAAACAGGCTCCTTCTGCAAAGTGGACTCTGTTTACCAATGCCTGAACCGAGAGCATTTCTCCTTCAAGATACAGCCAGCAACTCCTCTTTAAAAATGGGCAGCATTCCCTGAGTTCACAGGGATTTGGTAAGGCAAAACTCACTTCTGTTTTTTGTAAAATGCTTGACTTGATCAGCTCAGGTCTCACACAAAACCAGAAAATGTTCTTCCTGCAGAGACATGGTCTGCTTAAATGAAAGTGTCACCAACTGACTGTCTTTAACCTCAAAAGACAAACCAAGTTTTTCCTGAGCAATGAGCTGAGCTTTCCTAACTGATCTGTGGCTCAGTTGTGCAATAACACCTGTGCTGGTGACGTACAAATGCTTAGGCTTTCACAACTTCTAGAGAGCCAAACGAGGTGAAGCAAATCTAAACACTCCTGAAAACTAACACACATCAGTGCTTTACAGAGAGTTTGTGTTTTCACAGTTTCCACTGTCAGGTTTCCAGGATGGAGCTGGAGCTCACTCCTCACCTGGCTCCAGTGCCTCTGGATATGGAGCTGGGGGTGGGCTGGGGCAGGGTCAGGATGTCCTCATCACCCCCGTCCTCGTAGAAACTGGCGAGGGCAATCTGCAAAGGGAAACCAGCAGAGCTTGTCAGGATGGGAGCAAACACTCCAGAGAAACAGCAAAACCCACACAAACATCCCAGCTGAACCATCTGCCACGCTGGACCTCTCAAGGCACCTTTCACTAAAGACACTTCATGCATTTTCCCCCTGGCAAAGACGAGACCTTGGCAGGCTCTGCTGTTTGGCTGTGTCATGGCAGGGCACTCCCTGCTGCAGGGACGTCACCTTCCCTGCCAGGGAACGCCAGGGCCCTTCTTCTGCAGCACTGACACAAGGGCTATGCCAAAACTACTGCCCTGAAACAGCTGCTTTTGTGCCACCCACAAACAGAGGTTAACACAGCCAGATCCTTCGAGAAGGACCAGGGACAGGGGCAGGTCAGAGTAGTGGGTGGCTCCTCCACGGTCTGGGGGCGCTGGGGCCGCCGCTGGCAGCACCAACAGCACAGCCCTGACAATCTCGCCAGCATTCCAGGAGAACCCCCACAAACCCGGCACACCACAGACCCGCCGCCCCTCACCGCGCGGGAGAAAACGAGCGAGACAACCGAGACGGGACTCGGCCCCAGCCAGGCCACGGTCCCGCCGCAAGGGCTGAGCTCGGCGACGGGCGGGGGCGAGGCCTGAGCCTGCAGGACACCGAGCTCCGGCCCAGCGCTGCCCCCCGCCAGCGCCGCGGCGCCGCCGAGCCCCGCAGCGGGGCGGGCGGAGGTCAGCGGCGGAGGTACCTGGAGGTCCCAGCCCGCAGACTCGAGGAAGAACCGCGCTCGCTCCTCCTCGGTGCCGGTCACGGCCACGAACTCCCTCAGCGCCTCCTCCCTGTCCGCCATCTTGCCGCGGTGCAGCGCCCAAACCCCGCCGGGTTGCCCCGCCCCGCCCCCGCGTGCGCCGCCAAACCCGCCCGCCCGGAAACACCCGCGGCGGCGAACGGGGCCCGGCCCGCGCACAGCGGCCCCTGGCGGCCGGGAGGAGCCGGTGCGCCGGGAACCGGGAACAGGGATGGGCAGCACTGAGCACCGGACACTGGGAACTGGGCCCTGAGCACTGGGTACTGAGCCCCGGGAACTGGGTACCGGGAATCAAGCACAGGGAACCGGGCATGGGGGACCAGGATGGGCAGCACTGAGCACCAGTCACCTGGCACTGAGCACTGGGCATGGGGTTGGGCAGCACCAGGCACAAGGCATCAGGCACCGGGCACTGGGATGGGCAGCACCAAACACTGGGATGGGCAGCACCAAGCCCTGGAGGAGGGCAGATGGACGGGTCACAGACAGGGCTGGGTGCCCAGGACTGACAGCACAGAACAACCCAGGGCATCCTCTGCATCCTGGTGCGTTTATTTCCAGGGTCACACGACATGGCTTGTGATGGCCAAGCCCTGGGACCCTCCTTGAGGAACAGTGGGACAGGTCAGCAACCCTAGCGCTTCCTTCTTTGTGCGCTTGAAGAGGAAGAAGAGGAGCCCACCGAGGATTCCCTTCTCCAGCAGCATGCCAAGCCACAGGAGGAGGAGGCTGGATGAAAGGTTCACACCTGCAGTGGGGGCAGAGGATGTGAGCAACCAGGTCGCAAGGACAGGCGTTCCTGGCCCCACAGGGAGCCTTTTCTGGGACTTTGAGCTTTCTCAGGGGGTTACACCATACAGCCACCCTGGCAGGCACCCCACCCAGCTTTGACGCACCACTGTTTATCTGGGACCACTTGCCTGGTCCCTTCTCATCCGGGCTGGCAATCCACAGGATGGCTGACTGGTTGACAGGGGCCTGACCGTCATGTACCACCAGGCAGGTGAACACGGACCCATTCCTCTCCTCTGTCGCTTGCACCTCCACCTGGCTCCTCAGCTCCAACAAGCCCTGGCGCAACAGCGATGGCCGGGAGTCGTTCTGCACCTTCATCTTCATCCCGTTCTCCAGCCAGGAAACAGCCACGTTTGCTGGGTAAAAGCCCTTCACGTGGCAGGTGAATGTCACGGTCTTGTTCAGCTCAATGGGGCTCGTCTGGTCAGGGCTCACATCCACACTGGGGGAAACTGGGAAGAGAGGCAGCGCCTGGTGTCTGACATCCCCGGCTCTGCTGCCCGCAGGGTGCCCTGTCCCCACCCCATGACCCACTGTACCCACTCCAGGAGCCCCAGGCCCACAGGAGCAGGACACCCCAGCACAAGTGCCCCAGCCCTCACCTCTCAGGACTCTGTTGAGCTGGTACATCCCCCGCAGCAGGGTCTGTGACGCAGAGTGCTGCACCTCACAGATGAGCCGTGAGGGGACATCACCCTCCGCTAGGACCACTGTCACACTGCTGGACATGTTGTAGGATTTCTCCCGCCATTCAGTGACCTGGGGCAGCTGAGATGAGATGGGGGCCCTGTCCTTGAACCATTTCACGCTGATGTCTTTGGGAAAGAACCCTCCAGCCGTGCAGTTGAAAGCCACCGATTGCCCCGGCCCTGCTCTCTGGTTGGGCCCGGACACGATCGGGGGGGAGGGTTGGGCTGTGGGGAGAAGCACAGGGCTGTCCGACTGGGCTGGGCTGGGCTCCCCCCAGGAGCTGCTCTGGGATTCCCCCAAGCACTTCCACCAAGCACAGACACCTCTGTGCCAGGTCCACGCTGAAACACCACATCCCCACCGCTCAGGGACTTGGTGAACTTCACGCAGTAATAGGTGCCGACATCCTCGGGCTGAACATCCCTGATGTGGATGGTGAAGTCTGTGTCTGACCCGTTCACGGCTCTCGTCACACGGGGAGCAAAGACCGTGTCTGCATAGATGGTCTTGTTCCCACTGCCCCAGCCCTTCAGCCACTTCACAGGACCAAGTTCACTGAATCCAGACAGGGTGCAGTTCAGGGTGAGCGTCTGCCCCGCTTTCACCGACACTTTGTCCTGGGGCTGGTGGACCTTGAAGTCCTGACCCCCCTGGGCACCTGTACCTGGGCACAGTAACAGGAGTGTTTGGGGTTGACAAGGGGCCCCAGAGCCAGGGCACAGCATGAGGGATCGCCAGACACTGACACTGAGCCAGGAGCAGGAGAGATGTTCCTGTTCCTTGCTGCTGGGGAGTGAGGGACAGGGAGAGCCTGGAGCTCCCAGGATGGGGCTGGAGTTAACCAAACTCTTTGTCCAGGAATAAAAGCAGGTTGGAAGGGAGGCAGGAGAGGAGAGCCCTGGATATCCCCAGGCACAGAGAAGGACTGCACAGCCAGCAGCATGCGGAAGCATGCATTGGAAAAGCTCTGGGGCTGTGTGTGCCCCACTTACCCGGGGCTCTGCAGAGCAGGAGCAGCATCAGGCAGGTGAGAGGCAGCACCTCTGTCCCTGGAGCCATGGATATCCCCTCATCTCACTCCCTGATGTCTGGGCTTCTCTCAGCTCTGCTGGACTAGGCTCAACCTGACTCGGCTCAGCTGGACTGGGCTCAGCTCAGCAGGGTGCTGCACTCACCCAGCAAAAGGGAAGGAAAGAGGCCACCAATGGCCCTGTTCCTCTATGCAATCGTGTCCCGGTTGTTCCCCCGTGTTTTCATCACAAGGCTGGTCCAAAATGGTGATGTCCATCTCACTTTCCCCTCAGATATGTGCCAAAGCCATGGCCATGGCCACGGGCACTGGGCAGCCAGAGAGAGGGGCCCTGATGCCTCACACTCTCCCACATGTGGCCCCAGCCTGTGGCTCAGCGCCCCGGGGCGTCGGGAGGACACCCATCCTTTGCCAGCAGGATCAGGGGGCGGGCTGGTGTCTCCCATGGGTCAGTGGTGCAGAGCTGGGCCAGGGGCCCCCGGTGCTCCGGCCCCGCACCGAACCGGGGAGGTCGCAGAGCCCGTCCGGCTCCCTGTCCGGAGTCCAGTGCAGCCCCTCGGGGCCGGGCGGCCCGGGGGTGATGCCCGTCAGGGGTGATGCCTGTCAGGGGTGATGCCCGTCAGGGGTGATGCCCGTCAGGGGTGATGCCCGTCAGTGGTGATGCCCGTCTGGGGTGATGCCCGATGGGGCTGATGCCCGACGCGGGTGACGCGCGGCTCTGCCGGGCAGGCATCAAAGCGTTAACCACTCGCTCGCCTCCGTTTCCTGTCCTGTTTCTCCTTTTCCTTCCCAAAGTTTGGGCAGAGCCCATGGCCGCGGCGGCAGCTCCGCTCCAGTCCGGGCAGCGCAGCCCCTTTCAGCGGCAGCTCTCGGGTGAGTCGGGAGTGCGGCCCCCGAGCCCCCCGCTCCCCTGCCCTGTCCCACACCGGTCATTAATGCGAGCGGGCGCCAGAGATAAGGGCCGGGCGGGGGGTTTCTTTCCGCGACCACCTTTTGGTGGCAAAGCGTCCCTGGGGCTGCAGAGCCCAGCTCCGGAGAAGAGCACAGCCGAGTCGAGCCCCGCCGAGCCGGTGCCGAGCATACCGGGGGATTTGGGCAGGAGAGGTTTAGGGGCAGGAGGGGTTTGGGAATGAAGGGGTTTGGGAAGAGGGGAGATTTGGGGGCTGGAAGGGTTTTGGGGTGCAGGAGAGATCTGGGGACAAGGAGTGTGGGAGCTGCGCTGGACTCCGGGGCTGCACATCCCTGCCCAGAGCCAGCTCCTGGTTGGCTCCTGGCTGTGAACCCCAATTCCTCATGGAGCCCCAGTGATCCTGACTTGTGTGGAACAGAGCCAGGGCGTTAACGTTTAACAGCACTCGATTGTTTTTCCTGGCAGGAATTCCCCTTGGCTCCCTCTGTACCTCTCTGGCCTCCAGGCACCTGCAGCACCTCCTGCAAATGACACGACAGGGTGTAGATTTATCAGATCATAGAATCACAGAACCATTTAGCTTGGAAAAGATCTCAGAATCCTCAGGTCCAACCATTCCCTCAGCACTGCTAAGGCCATCACTAAACCATGTCCCCAGCTGCCACATCTATATGTTATTTAAATCCCTCCAGGGATGGTGACCCCACCACTGCCTTGGGCAACCTGCTCATTTTTCAGATTTGCCCCTTGTTCATTTTGAACTTGGCTTCCCCTCTCCCAGTGCCTGCACTTTGCCTCTACCACATCCCAGGATATCTCTCAGCTGCTCTGCCTGTGAGCCAGCCTCTCCCCATCATTCAACCCTGAACCCTCCTGTTGCTGTGCCCAGGTGCAGGTGCCCAGGGGGGTCAGGACTTCAAGTTGCACCAACCCCAGGACAAAGTGTCGGTGACAGTGGGGAACACGCTCACCCTGGGCTGCACCGTGTCTGGATTCAGTGAACCTGGTCCTGTGAAGTGGCTGAAGGGCTGGGGCAGTGGGAACAGGACCATCTATGCAGACACAGGCTCTGCTCCCCGTGTGACGAGAGCAGTGAACGGGTCAGACACAGACTTCACCATCCACATCAGGGATGTTCAGCCCGAGGATGTCGGCACCTATTACTGCGTGAAGTTCACCAAGTCCCTGAGCGGTGGGAATGAGGTGTTTCGGCGTGGAACTGGCACAGAGGTGTCTGTGCTCGGTGAGTGCAGCCCAGCAGGACGCTGCTCCCAGGAACCCCATCCCACAGCCCCCACCCTACCTGCAGCAAGATCCCACACTGCCCTGCACCCACCACCCTCTCCCGCTCTGCCTCCATCTCCACAGAGGCAGCCGTGGTTCCCGGCATGGTGGCTGCAGTTGTGGTGCTCTGCTTCCTCCTTGTCCTCGGCCTCCTCGTTGCCCTTTGCCTGTACAGAAGGAAGCGCCAAGGCAGGGTGGGCAGCCCTTGCCCAGCCAGGCCAGCAGCCGTGGGCAGCTTCCCTCCCACCTCTCTGCAGTGCTGTGCAGGGACCCCCAGCACCCGCAGGTTTGTACCCACCACCTCTTCCTTCTGCACCCTGAGGTGAGCAAACTGCCTTATCCACCTGCTTTATGCTGGGTTTTTTTAACTCTCTGGAGCAGTAATTTGCCCCAGAAAAGGTCCTTTACCACGCTGTGCTGCTTCTCTCTGTGTTTCACAGGAGTGCCTGGTGGGGAGCACTCAGTACCAGGGAGCTCCCTGCAGCCCCTCGCTGTGGTGCCTGAGCCCAGCCCAGGAGCACAGACAGCACGTTGTCCCTCTCTGCCTTCAGCAAGGGCATCCTGCTGAAATTCGGGAGTGGAATTGAGGGAGGCTGTGCTGGGTGGGAGGGGACCCAGATTCCTTTAGTTCTAATGGTTGTCCTTCCCTCTGCAGCGAAGTTCTGGATGCAGAGAGCTCCCACCTGCCCAGCCAGGTAAGAGTGAGCTGTGAACAGGGGGAAGTGCATCCCATGCCAATGCCCCGGCTTGCAGGAACTCTACAAGTCTCTGGGACCAAGGGGGACCTCGGGTGGGCAGCAGCTGCCTGCATGTGGTCCCAGCACAGTCTGCACCGCAGCACGGGGCCACCTCTGCAGCCGTACCACCACCAGCCTGGCTTGAACCTGGTTCTTGGTGTTGCCCAGTGCGAGGCCAGGAGTTGGACTCGATGATCCCTGTGGGTCCCTTCCAACCCAGGGGATATCCTGTGATTCCGTGAAATAGGGTTGGGGTTATTTTTGCAAGATTTTTCCTGTGGCATCATCCCCCATTTGTGTGCACTTCTGCAGCAGAGCAGCAAGGAGGAGAACGACATCCACTACGCCGACCTGCAGGCCCTGCCCACGGCCCCCCGGCGCGGCAGGAGCGCGGGCACAGCCTGCACGGAGTACGCCAGCCTCAGGGTAGCTGCCAAGTGACACGTGGCACCACGGCCTGCACGGCCAAGCCATGGTGGGGAGGAAGCAGGGATGTTTCTGCAGGGCACAGTAAAGAAGAAGTGGAGCTGTTTACGTGGCACACCCCGGTCTCAGCTCAGCACGCCGTTCTCAGAGCCAAGCTTCCTCCTGTTTATTCCCATCTCAGGGCTGGACCTGCTGTGCCAGGGCTGGGCAGCAGCTCTCCCAGGACCCAGCAGCCATCTCTACCACTGGATCAGACCACGAGGCCAAGCACCTCTGCCTGCTGTTTGGTTCTGATGACACCAGGAGGGCCTCATGCTTGCTTGTGCCCACCAGCACAGGCCTCCACTGGCCCTTTCCCAGCTCACAGGTCCATAATTTGTGTTATCTTGTCACCACCCTCATTAAAGCCATCAAACAACCATGCTGTCCAGTTTTACTGTGCTCAGGGCAAGAGCAATAGTGCCAGTCCTGCAGGATCCTGGGGGGGATCACATGAGGCCCTCAGCAACCCTCTTGGCAGGAGGGGCTGAGGCCAAAACGGGCTTTCTGGGCAGAGGAACCTGCTGCCACTGCTGCCTGTGACCTTGGAAGCTGCTGCACTTGCTAGTTTTCAGATTTATCTACTTTTTCCTGTGAAATCAGAAAAGAGAAGTGAAACAAGACTGCGCAGCCCCGGGGAGTGTGGCTGGCAGGGAGATCCTCGTGAGGACAGAATTGTCACAGGGGGGAGAAGAGCTACAACGGAAATTTATTTGCATGACTGAATAAGAGTTCCCTCCTCTGGGGACGTGTCCTGGGGACAGTTTGGGGTCAGTTCTTTCTCAGAGACAGTTAGGGAACGCTCAGCACCCTGTGGGCATGGTGATGGGGGGTGGAGTTTGCCAGGGTAGGGGTCCAGTGCCTGTCCTCAGCCTGGCCCCGTCAGCATGGGGCTGTGGGGTGGGAGTGCCAGACCAAAGCCTTCCCCAGTGCTGGATCCTGAGTGGAGCCATGACAATGCCACGGATCATTTCCCAGCCAAGGCAGTGGCTGCTCTGAGCAGGACAAGGGTTGCCCGGGCTCTGCAGAGGGACGACACCAAAACTGGCGGAAATCTCACATCAAGGCTGTGAACAAGAATATGTAAAATATGTGGGTGAGACTGAAACCGGGGATAGACCTTGAGGACCAGGGGAAATGAAATTCAAGGGGATTTAGAGCTTTTTAAGCACTGGGCTGGATCAGGAGTGGGGAAATCCAGTTTGATAGGAGCATATGCAAAGCAGGGAGCGAGCAGAGCACGGTGGAGCGCTCTGCACCTAGGAAAGGGCCCAGGTCTGCGGCTTACTGCCCAGGGGAGGGATTTGGTGGTTATTAAAGGAAAATCCTTTAAGCCACCAGCCCGGGGTGTGCCGGCAGTGAAAGCACAAACAAGCGCCCGAGCACGGACACAAGGTAGGAGCGTGCTGGGGAGCACCTCACTCTGGGGGCAGAGCCTCACTTGGGGGGCAGCACCTTCCTCAGGGGACAGCATCTGGCTTGGGGGGCAACACCTGGCTTGGGGGGCAGTGTCAGGCACTGCTGGGGTCATGGATTCACTCTGGTGTTTTCCTGGTGCTGCTGGTTGTCACATCCCACTGAGTCACCTGCTGGGTACTTGAGCAAGACGAGAGGGGTGTGTGGGAAGTCAGGAGCTGCCATGGCTGGGGGGCACAGGGAAATGCTGGGGTTTGGGGCTGGCACCCACCAGGCTCCTCCTGCCACAGCCAGGGCCGAGTGAAGGTGGCAGAGGCTTCACTTCAGTGTGGAGCTGAGGTGGTGCCTGGATGGGTGGTGGGAGAGGCTTGGTGTCCCAGGGGGGAGACCAAGCTCCAAACAAGTTTTGGGCTGTGTCCTGCTGCTGAACCCCATGCACAGACACCCCAGGGTGGTGTTGTGCTGGGTTTAGCTGGGCTTTTCCTCTGTGTGATGTGTGAGCCCAGTGCCAGGACCCCATGGGATCGCAAAGTCAAGAAAAAGGGCTGGCCTGCAACGGGATGTGTGTCTGGGCAGCCAGGGGATGCTCAGGGGCTACTCCGGCGTCTGATCTGGGAGGTGGGAATTGTCTCCTGGAGGTTTCAGTGCCAGAGGGCTGTCAGGGCCTGCCAGGGTGGTGGTGTGTTCTGTGCTGTGCTGTGCTGGGGAGCCAGTGTGGGAGGCATGGGCTGTGCCAGGAGCCAAGGGGGAGCATGACAGAAAACATGGAACAGCAGAGAGCAATTAGTCTGGAGAGGGTGGCTGATGGAGGGGGCTGGTCCTTGCAGCAAGGGGAGGGCAGCAGTGGTTTAATTAATGCTGAGGAAGAGCGTGGTCTCAGCTAGTGTGTGGGCTGGCTGAAACAGGGGGCTGCAGGAGTCTCCCTGTTGTCCTGGGGGACAGGAGAGAGCTGGCTGCACTCATGGGGAGTGGAACAATTCTTAGCTATGCTGAAGCCAGGCAAGAAGAAAAAGGGAGAGACAGGGATAAATGCTTCATGCCCTGCCCCAGGATGCTCTGGC